CCCTCGTCCCTTACGAGCCTCTGGCCCCTCCTGGAACTGCGTACGAGCCCATCCCACGCCTCCGGCCCTGCCGAGCTGGCAGGCCCCCGACCACCGAGCGCACACCGGTCCAGAGATGCGCTCAGGGCGCCCACGCCTCCTCGAGCGCCCCCGGATTTCTAAACCGACACTGTTCTGACCGAACGTGGCTGGCCGAAAAATTCAAGAAGAGCAGAAATTTAAGTAAACAAACCAAATAAACCTCACAGATGGCCCGAGCGGAAAATCAGAGTAAACGGCTGAAGTGGATCAGGTAGCAAGGCTTTCCCCATATTTTTCTGATTGACTAAATCTGCAACATATGCTTATTCCTACTGAATTGAAGAAACCGCGCCCCGGATGGATTTGGCAAGCTGTCCAGGCTCCCCCAGCTGGTGCTGCAAACCAAAGTCTGGCCTTGGGCCAGTAGGTTCCAAAGCCAGAGCGCTGCCCACTGTCCACCCTGCACATGGCCTCCTGGAAGCCAGAGCCGCCTGGACCGGCGCTGTCCAGCACGGGAACCAGCGGCCCCGTGTGGCTATTTAAATGAGCTGAAATTCAATAAAACTAAAAATTCAGTGTCGCAGCCACACAGTCCCCATGTCCAGTATTTAACAGGTACACGTGGCTAGTGGCTACTGTTCTGGACAGAAGGTAGGGCGCATTCTCGTCACCGGAGAAAGTTCTCTGGACGGTGCTGGTTTAGAAGAATGAATCCTGATACTAAGTAGATGATGAACGCCCAAGTCTCGTACCAGAAAGATTTTGACGTCAAAGTGAGCGATGCTTTTCTTACACAGCTCACGTCTGTTAAAAAGGTGAATTGAATCTTTCCTGTTCCGATCACACTATATACTGAATCTTAGCTATACCCAGAGTAAAATGGAGAACGCACTCACGTAACATAATTCAAATAGTTAAACTTAATGAATTTTCCAACAAGAGTGGACCAATGGGCTAGCCTGGCAATCCTTCAGGCGGAGCGTGGGAAGAGCAAACTCCTGGGGGCTGGCGATGGAGCCAGAGGGGGCCCGGCTGCTCCCGCGAGCAGAGCACGGCCAGCGGCCCAGCCTACGGGGACGAAGCAGCCAGGGGCGACCACGACCTCCAGCAAGCAGTGCCACCGCATGGCCACGACGTCACCAGAGGGGCACGCAGCTGTGATGTACTCGAAAACCACGGAAACGGGGACCCCAAACGTGAGACGACTCGGCAAAACCCTAGTCCAGCAACACCGTTTACCACTGAGGAGTCTGAGGCCCAGAGGGAGCACGTAACCCGAAAACAAACGGACCCGTATTCACGCGGGAAATGGCATTTACTTTTCATGGGCGCTGGCCCCGGAGCCACACCGCCTGGGGTCACGGCTCGCTCGGTGTGGGTACCTCCGACGCGAACTAGACCAGCGGGGGAAGTCGGGGAAAACACCTGAGCTCCGTCTGCAAAAGAGGACGGACGGCAGGGCCCGGACCCAGGGCTGCACGCGGAGGAAGGAGTTAGCACGCGGACGAGCGTAGGATTTACGGTTCAAAACGGGAGCGCCCTGGAGAGAGGCAGCACCACGACATAATTACGTTGGAGAAACAAGGGTAGACGGGCCCCCCTCGGGCAAAGCGCAACACGCGGTCCCCCGTTAACGGAGGGACACGGCAGGACAGCGGCCGGCACAAGGTGAGAGCTGTGTGTTCGTTGTAAATGTGCCCATAACATGGGACCATCGGGGAATCCTGATGACAGGATTTGAGAACGAAATTCAGCAGAAAAGTGGATTCGCTCAGCAGAGACTCGCTTTACCATCAGCGGTCCCAGAATGCGCCTCTCTGTAAAGGGAGAGGGGCGTCTGTCGTGAGTTCTAGTCGCCGCGGTAAAACACAGCTGCTCACTCTCTGGAAATAAACAAGACCCCTTCTCGGGGTGACACGTTTGCTCCTGTGCCGTGAGCTCGCTGGCGGAGCCGGCCAGTGTTAACACACGCTCGCCCCGTGCTCAGGGTCGGCACATTCAGTGACAGTGCCAAATACCGGTGACTGACAGTGCCAAGCGGCGAACGAGCCCCCCAGCGTGCGCCCCCCGCAGAACCACGTTCCAGAGGCAACGGCAAAGGCCGCGTCCTCGCCCCGCATCGTCGGGACGGAGCCGGCGTGCCGCCCTACCTCTGGGGAGCCCGCCGTCCCCGTCCGGCTCCGCTGGGCCACCCCTCTGGCTGGACCCCGCCACCTTGGCGCCACCGACGGATTCCAGCAGGGAGACGAACTCCAGGAAGTTGGATTCGTTGGGGGTCTGGCCCTCCTTGGCCTCCAGGTCAGACTTGGAAGTGGGCATTGCTTTCTCTTTACCGCTGATAACTCCTGCGGAACTTTCGCTGAAGACGGCGTCGGTCCCGGCGTCCACGCTGCGGCCCCGGCCGTGCCCCTGCTCATGGCTGGCGCGGGCTGGGAGCCGGGCCGCGGTTTCACAGGGGTCTCTCGGGGAGGCGCTGAGGCTCGTGGTGGCATGTCCCCCATCCCCAGACTCCCGGCCGGAACGCTGGGTGGAGGGCGCCTGCGCCGCCCGCCTCTCTGCAGTCCTCTGACCCCCGCGGCCTCCGGGACACGTGCCTCCTCCGCCACCCCCAGGCAGCTCGAGGGTGATGACGGGGACTGTCACCTGCTCGGTGCGTGCGGGCCTGGCCGCCCCGGGGGGGCCTGGCGCAGCACCCGGCCTCACACCCGTGGACTCGGGGCCCAGCGCCCTCGGGGGCAGTGAGCTTTCCCCGTCGGTCACGGAGCTTGGGGTGCTGCTCATGGTGATGACGATTCTGATGGGCTCCTGCAGACTCGGCGGCTCTCCCGGGTGAGAGGCGTCGCAAAGAGTGACGGCCACCTCGCTGTCTGAGGGGTCCGCTGCCTGGGTTGAGGGAGGGTCCACCTGCCGGGCAGCGTCCACCAGCTCGTGCTCAGGTTTGGTGACAACCGTGTCACAGTGAGGGCAGCTACTGCTTGGGCTGTCCTGAGGCGACCTGCCCTGCATCTGCTCCCTTGGGGGGCCCTGGGCACCCCCCATGATCTCCGGAACCAGGACTGAACGTTCGCTCCCCCACGGCTGGAAGGAGACGTCGGTTTCTAGTAAGTCGTACTGGGACAAGGACAGGTGTGGCCGCTTTTTCAAGGCGCCCTTATCCACCAGGCCACCATCAGACCTGTGGCGGGGCGGGCGCCGCGCCTCGCCGCCTCCTCCCCTCCCGCTGCCGCTTTCCTCTGCCGCCGCCGGTTTAGTCGGTCTCGCTGAGGGGGCCGTGCTTTCCAGCACGTGGGCCTCAGAAGCAGGTGAGGGAGATGACGCCAGGGCCCCAGGCTGCTATTCCGACAGAATGACACCTGAAACGAACGAGGAGAGCAGCTTCGTAAGGCACTTGTATCCAAAACATATAAAGAACTCTTATAACTCACCAATAAAAAGACAACCCAATTAAAAACTGGAACTCGAATAGACATTTATCAACATCAAAATCAATCTCATGAGTCAGACAACATTGGAAAAACATCAAAATCATTATTCATCAGAGAAATGCAAATCACAACCACAATGAGATGCCACTTCGCCCCACCATATAAAGAATATGGACAAAAACAAGCGTTGTCAGGGATACTGAGAAACTGAGACCCTCGTACACTAATGGCAGGAATGAAAAATGATGCACCTGTTTCCTAAAACGGTCTGGCAGTTGCTGCAATGGTTAAACACAGAGTTGTCACGTGGCCCAGCAATTCCGCTCCTAGGTATGTAACCAGGAGTGTGAAAACACATGTCTGCACGAACACCTGCCCATGAATATTCTTTGCAGCTTCAGGCACAACACCCAACAAGTGCAAACGACCCACATGTTCATCCACTGGTAAACGGATGAACGCGATGTCGTCCATCCATCCGATAGAATATTATTTGGCAATAAAAAGAAATGAAGTACCGACATATGCTACAGTACGGATGAATCTTCAAGTGTTCTACTAATTGAAGAAAGCCGAAGAACCACATATTTTATGATTCCCTTTCCATGAAATGTCCAGAATAGGTAAATCGATAGACAGAAAGGACATTAGTGGTTTCCTAGGGCTGAAGGAGATGGGAAGTTGAGGGGTAATGGCCACGTGGCTTGGGTTTCTTTCCAAGTTAATAAAAATATTCTAAAATTGACTGTGATGATGGATATACGACTCTGAGAAGAAACTAAAAACCGCTGAATTACACATCTTAAACGAGTGAATCGCACGGCATTTGAATTATTTCTCAATTAAGTTGTTAAGAAAGACATTGTGGCTTTTAACAACAACAACAACAACAAAGGAATTGGACAATAGGATGGCGTATTACGAGACTGGTCTAAGGAAAAACACAGGTAGCGTTAGCACAGTGTTGCTAAGACGCTGGCTGCGGTGGTCAGGTGTGGCTCTACACGCCACCTGTACATTTAACTTGTTGTGATTCGGACTGGATGAAACACGCAAAGCCCCGACCAGAATTCCTAGTACATGGAAAGAAGGAAGGAATTGTTTAAACCGAAACGGTGAAGTTTAAAGGGCAGAACAGACGTTGAAAGGAACGTAGGGGCATTAACAGCAACCGCACGCCTGGCCTGGAAGAATCTGTGACTGAATATGAGGAAAATGCATGTGTCTGTGTGTGACACGCTGATTTGAAAATGTGTGGGTAACTAACATATCTGAAGCCTGACTAATGTGCCTTTCATTTCAGTAGTAGTAGTATAGAAAAAGGAATTTGGATCGTCCTTTATATATTAGTATCCGTGAAATATAACTGAGTGACGAAAAAAGAGGCTTCATTTCAGGTTTTCAGGGCCATAGTGCTAATTTCAGCTATTTTCCAGAAAATAAAATTTTACGCTATTTTCAAAATTTAAATAGATCGTGAATTTCTCTTTGTAGTAGTATTGGGGGAAAAAATGCAGAGAAAAGAAGAGGGTAGTAGTGCAGGCCTCCAAAAGTTCTTTTCTAAGTCTTCTGAGGGTAATCATAAGACAATTAAATGCCATCTTAGTAAAGAAGGAAAACAAAAATTTAAAAGGTTAAAAGTGAGTTCCCGGAAACAAAATCTGTACCTTGAAAGATATACAAAATGTGACATGATTTCCTCTGTCATTTTTCAACGTACTATAATAAAGTTTGTATGTTAATAAATTTATTGTTACATTCGCTATTACGAGACATAGGAAATGAGGCACCCACTAGAAAAAAGATAATAAAATATAACCAGTGAAATATCACAGTTTTAATGCAGACATGATACACAAATCCTGATGAGAAAGAATTAAAATTAAGAGTAAAAGAAATGAATCAACTGACAGACAAAACGGAAACAGACTCAGAGATACGGAGAATAAACTGGTGATTGCCAGATGGGAGGGTGCTGGGGAGCTGGGTGGACAGGGGGGAAGGGGGGCAGTACAAGCTGGTGGTTACAAGACAGTCATGAGACGTAGAGTAGAGAGAGCTCCAGAAATACAGTCGGCCACATTGCAATAACCACGTGTCGTGCCAGGTGGGCGCGAGGCTAGTCCGGGGCATCGCTTCATAAATCATATAAATGTCTAACCACTATGCCGCGCACCCGAAACTAATATAACATAAAACCGGATGTCGACTTGAATTGAAAAAGAAAAACTTTTTAAAAGAGTAAAAGAAACGAAGTTAAAATATAACGTATCTCAGGCATAATTCTCATTTTCAACGATTTCGCTGGCATCGCTTCGTAAAAACCGTTTTTCACTGCACTGAGGATGATGCTGTGATAAAATATTAAACGATGAAAACGAACACTCTACCTTTGAGATCTTCTGCTGTTTCCCGCGCCGGCAACTCCTAAAGAAAAGAAAGGATGAAAATCAGTGCACGGCTGAGCCCGAGCTCCGTTTCCAGGCAGTCAGCACCGCCGCCTTCTACACGGCAGGTGGGGCAGAGACAACACTGTCCACTCTGCTTCAGCGACTACAAAACGAGCGGCAGAAATGAAGGCTGAGTGTGGACGCCCAGCCCGGAGCGCCCACCGCGATGACAGGGGCTTAGCGTTTAAGAGGCGACTTCGGAGGAGAAGGAATAGTGTGCGACTTTCTACTACGGTGAACACGGCCCGGGAAAATGAATCTAGAAGGAAGGTCATTTACTGACGTCCCGGAGACGAGCGTGATTCACGCAGGGGAGGCGCTGGCTGCAGACACAGCGAGCCGGGGCAGGGGGCAGCGGGGGTCGGCACAGGGGTCCCCTGGCCAGTGGGTGCTCCCAGCACAGGACCCGTGTTTGTCTGGCAGCCCGAGCCCTCCCCTAAGGCCACGTCCTCACTCCGAGGTGTCATCCTCCAGAAGCACGAGGTCAGCACGCCCACGCACGTCACTGCGTACTCCGGTCCCAGGCGGAGTGGACACCGGCAACACGAGGGAGGACAGCAGGGACCCGGCCACTAACCAGCAGCGCCGCGGAGTGACGGGAGCCGACGCCGTGTCCTCCGGGGCTGCCGCGGGGCGGGCGCGAAGAGTGCTCGGGGCTGGCCTCCTCCTTCCTGCCGCCGACGGCGATGGCCGGCCGGGTGCTGCCAACCCAACACAAGAGACACAGGCCGGTGACGGCATCCAGCAGACCTACGCCCCGCTCGGTGTCCGTCCCCAATTTTTCCCCTAAATTCCACTTGGTCATAATCGTCGTACACAAATTACGTTTTTGAGCGGAGTCGTAAACGGGTCTTTAAAATGAGACACGTTCTCTTAAGGAGCCATCAGAGATAAGGACGTGAACGGTGGCAGCGACGCTTAGGTGGGGGCGACTCTGACTCTTTCAATTGGCTGCGATCTGTCGCTTTCATATTAGAACATGACTTTATTATATTGACACAGGAATATTATATTAACAAACACGGAAGTTCTTTTTGAAAATACCCTGGCACGTGCTTAGCACGGACATGGCGGAGTAAAAATACCGGAATAAAACACTTCGCTGCGTGAAGCCAGGTGCCGACGAGTCCCAGAGCATGGATTAAGGTCGTATTAATAGTCAGCTAAACCATCTCAATTACCGATATCAATCTGATGCTTAAGTGCATACCGGCACGTAGGAAAAATGCACATATTTGCGTCTGCCCGTACCGGCAATTTTTCATAAACAACGAATGAGTGAGAAAATGTATTTAATCAAAATAAAAACATTTAAGTCATGAACCGGTGCATGGACCGGAAACGTTACCTGGGGTTTTTGTGATCGGCGGGGCGTCCGCCGTCGGCCTCTCTGTCTCTGCCTGGCCTCTCCTCCTCCCTGGGGGGCCTCGGAGGAACCGCCTCCCCTTTGTCGAACATGAGGTGCAGGCGGTAGCTGACCAATTTGATTATTGTGAAGAATACAGTCACTGAACTGCAGTAAAAAAATACAGTCATGGCGTTTGGAGGAAAAGCCTAAGGACAAGAAAATAAGGGAAAAAATTCATTTGTTTACAGTATTACCTTTGGTTTAAAATCCGAAAGCACTTCTGGACTATTTAGGGAGCATAAACTGGGTAAGATTTCAAATGGCACTCGCTTTATGACTTTTCCTGAGAAGAAAGGGCTCCTGTCTTTCTGTTTAAAAGTCTTCCTTGCTTCTCAGGCTCTGGTGCTAGTCGCGCTGATGACCGACATTCGCTTTGCCGGCAGGGACCCCACGGGACAGCCAGTGGCCATTTCTGCGAGCCTCCCCATTTCCTGCCCGCTCCCTCCCACACCCCGATCCCATCCTCCTGCGCATCTGTTCCTAAAGGCCGGAGGATGGCCTTGAGATGCCCTGTGAACAGGGGAACGAGGGGTGAAGGACAGTTCGTGTGATGTCCCTCCCCGTCCCTCCCCGGTCCCACTGGGTCAACACCATCAGGCTGAGGGCTTCCCAGCGGGGCGATGCAGGCAAGGAGCACGAACGGACGGTGGTCGGCTTCTGAAAGGAAGAGGGGTATCGCCAGCAGTGACAAAGAAAAAGGTCGGTGCCACCAATCCAATGCCAACAGGAGTCCCCAGGCCGGGATGCAGTAAAAGGAGAAGCTTTACTCAGGTTGCAAACCGGGGAAAGGCACCGTCCAGTGGGAACCCAAAGCGGACTTCTCAGAGACAAAGGAGAGGCCTGCTTACACACAGTGCCTGCCCCGGCCTCCACTGGCCCATTTTTATGCAAATGAAGAACCTAAATTTTCACTTTGAATTGTCCAAATAGCAGTGTCTTGATTGGATGAAATCATGTGTGTTCTGATTGGTCCTTATGGAGCTGAATGGCTGATAAATATGCAAACGAGGCTATAGCTCTGCAGCTCCAACTGGGCAGGGCGGGTCTCAGCCCATGGGTCGATATATGAGTCCAGGAATTCCCTTATAACGGGGTCCCAAACCCCGGGCCGTGGAGCGGTATTGGTCCAGGGCCCGTTAGGAACCGGGCCGCACAGCAGGAGGTGAGCGGCAGGTGGGCGAGCGAGCAAAGCTTCATCTGCGTCTGCGGCCGCTCCCCAGCGCCGGCATCACCGCCTCAGCTCCGCCCCAGATCGTCAGGCGTTAGATGCTCACAGGAGGACGGGTCCCTGGTGCCACAAAGGCTGAGGACCGCTGCTCTCATGTTGGGTGCAGACGGCAGGAATACAGTGTGGGAGGCTGGTGGCTCGGTCTGTGGCTTTTCCCTAATGTGCAGAGTGCAGGAGAGGCCCCTGCCAGCGACAGCTGCCAGCCTCTGATTGTGAGTTCGGGTCCAGCTGACCCCAAGGAGTCCTTCTGGGATTGTATTTCTTCTTGGGGTCAATAGCATGAAGATCATAGTGAAGGTCAGCTAAGTTCTGTCCAGTCCTCTCAAGAAACAAAAATAATCACTGGAATCCATGCAACTGGCCCACTCTGTAGGACACCCCCCCACCCGACACACACACACACAGACACACACGCACGCACACACATACACACACACACACGCACGCACAGAGCTTCCTAGTTCTCTCCCAGGTCCATGGACCACTGGTCCAAGATTCTCTGGTCCTTCCTCAACTTAATTTCTTATCTTTTGGGATGGACATGAAGCTGAGTGTCCCAAGATGATATACAGGACATGAGTCTTGCCTCGATCAACAGCAAGACCCTTCTGCCACCACCTCCATGACGGATCTCAGAAACCCAGCGCTGAGTCTAGTCTGTGCTGTGACCTGGAACACCGTGAGGCCTGAGGACAGGGGGCCCAGCACCATCTGTCCCCACGTGGCCCCTGCACGACCGGCCCCGGTCCTGCCTGACAGTCCTCCACCGAAGAAGGGCTGTCCCAGCAAAAAGCCAACACAGAAAGGAAAACCACCAATAACGAGCAAGAGCTGAAGCGAAGAATTTTCTCCACCGCCGACCCGCTTTTACTTCATGGGGAAAAAGGTCCACAAATAAATACAAATTAATAAAAGAGCGAATGAACGATTGAATACGATCATGATCATAGCTAGGTGATAGACAGACAAAGCCAGGGCCCCTACCTGGAAGCAGGTGAGTTCACATTTACACGCGCGCCTTCTGATGAGACGCTGTGAACGACCTCAAACGATATATGGACAAGTTGCAAAAAAAAAATGAGACAGTGACGGCAGACGCCGGACGCCCCCGACACTTTTTCTTTACATGTCTGTATATTTCAGGGCTAAAAAATTTAAGCTAGAGAGTGGGTTTGAAAAAGCTGATAAGGAATAAATCCCAGCAAACGTCCGTGAGAACCTCACAGTACTTCATTAGGGGTGGCGGGGAGTCAGCGCCCGCTAAATGCTGCATGTGCTCCCTACACCTCTACGAGATGACAGCGCTCCCTTCAGCCTGGGGACCCGGGTGACACTGTGGAACGAGATGCTTGCCGACCTGAGAGGGACGCGTACTAGGAGTGTGAAACAAACTGTGATTCATTAAACCACTAGGATTTGGGGTTTCGCTTGCTGGGGCGGCTACGGAGGCTTAATCTAATTAGCACTGGGCTCCATGTCCATGGAGAAGCTTCCACTGGAATCAGATCAGAGGTAAACTGGAAGAAGCCCCAAGGCACGGGGAGGAGCATTCGAGGAGAGAGGGTGGGAGAAGATGTCACACAAGGACCCTGGGAGAACTTGCCACGGGAGAAGAGATGTGACTTCTTAGTTTATGCTCCAAATACGGCCCACGGCGTCGGCTTGGTGACAGCGAAATTGCAAAGGCGAAAAGTCAGATTTTGGAGTAAACGTGAAGATTAGCGTCCAGCTCGCAGCCCGGGTGACAACACGCTGCTGTCTCCCGCTCTGTGAAAAACCGCTTGGCACTTTGTCGCACCCCCAAAGAGTAACACACCTCACCAGGCCAGTGGGAGACGGAGGTTTTACTGAAGAAAGAGGAAAGGCTGCCCCGTGACCTCCAGGGCACGCCATCCCCCCAAAGTCCCTGTCCTCGCAATCCCTCCAAAGACCGCTCCCTCCGGTAGACGCCCCAAGCAGACTGCAGCACGCTCCCCGGTCCCCCTTTCAAGACATGGAATTGAGCTCTGCTCAGGTTCCTCCAACTCCACACTGCCAGGGACGTCACCTCGAGGCCATTGTACTGCTGACAGCATTATTCTCGGTCGACAGAAGACCCCCGGCCCCCAGGCCTCCCTGTCCTCACAGGCACGGAGGAGGGGAGAGGAGGGGAGATTAGGGAGGACTGTGCTGCAGTGAGCAATTTCAGATTTGTTTCTAATTGATATCACAGATGCCGCCCCTCCCCATCGCCCTGCAATACAAGGTACATTCAGATTTTAAAGAGCGCTATACTGTCGTAAGACAAATCACAATTGTTTGTTTCCATGACCATTTGAACACATTCTAGTTAACGACCGACGGCATCATTTTTCAAAATTCTATCTTTGACCAAAGAAAAGCCAAATGTTGTTCCCTGAACTGTTATTAAGATAACTACTCGGATAATCACGCACGTGACCAAACTTTGTGACAAAATGTCATGAGGAGAGCGTGCGGTTACCAACTAAGCAATTACGGGTGGTCATTAGCGTCTCTCACAAAGCTGGATCTCTCGGGATCGAGCGCCACGTAGGAGTGAGTGCCTGTCGGTGGGACCTTCGGTGTCCTCCCCGTGGGACCCTCTGTCCCCTTCGGCTCACGGCTCCGGCTCCCCGCCAGTCA